TTGAATTCCATGTCTACTTAGACAAGGGAAACAAAAGAAAAAATAAACAAGTGGGACTTCATCAGATTAAAGAGCTTCTACAAGGCAAATGAAACCAGGATCAAAATGAATAGGGAACCCACCAGCTGGGAAAATATATTTGCAAACCACATATCTGACAAGGGATTAATCTCCATAATATGTAAGGAACTCACACAACTGAATAACAAGAAAACAACCCAATCAAAAAATGGGCAGAGGAAATGAACAGACACTTGTCCAAAGAAGATATACAGATGACCAATAGGCACATGAAAAGATGCTCAACATCACTAGTCATCAGGGAAATGCAAATCAAAACCACACTAAGATATCACCTTACACCTGTTAGGATGGCTATAATCACCAAGACAAAAAACAACAAATGCTGGAGAGGCTGTGGAGAAATGGGAACCCTAATCCACTGCTGGTGGGAATGCAAAGTGGTGCAGCCTCTATGGAAAACAGCATGGAGATTCCTCAAAAAATTAAAAATATAAATACCTTATGATCCAGCTATCCCACTACTGGGTATCTACTCAACGTACCTGAAATCAACAATCCAAAGAGGCTTATGCACCCCTATGTTCACCGCAGCATAAATCACTACAACCAAGACATGGAAGCAACCCAAGTGTCCCTCGACTGATGAATGGATAAAGAAGATGTGGTATATATATACCATGGAATACTACTCAGCCACAAAGAAAGACAAAATCGTCCCATTTGCAACAACATGGATGGACCTGGAGGGTATTATGTTAAGTGAAATAAGCCAGAAAGAGAAAGACAAACAGGGCATGATTTCACTCATATGTGGAAGATAAACCAACACACGCACAGATAGAACTGTTCAGTGGTTATCAGGGGCTAGGGGGCTGGGAAGTGGGCACAAGGGGTGGAGGGATGGACTTATATGGTGACTGATAAACAATAATGTACAATAAAAATTTGACAATAAGAAAAAATAAATAAATAAAATAAAATAAAATAAACTTCCCCTATAGGGAAAAAAAAAAGGCCTAGGCCCAGATGGTTTCAATGGTGAATATTAATGTTGAAACAAGAATTAACACCAGTACTTCACAAACTCTTCCATAAAACAAAAGAGAAGGGAACATTTCCCAAGTCATCCATTGAAGTCAAAATTACCCTCATACTCAATCCAAACGAAGACATTAGAAGAAAAAGAAAACTACACTGCTGATAACTCTTATGAACATACATGCAAAACTCAACAAAATACTAGCAAACCAAATCCAGAAATACATAGAAAGGATTACGAGTCATGACAGAGTGGAATTTATCCTAGTAATGCAAGGCTGAACAAATGAGAATCAATTACTGTAATACACCATGTTAACAGGATAGGGGACAAAAATCAAATGATCATTTCAACAGACATGGGAAAGCATTAGACAAAACCTAACAACCTTTCACGATAAATGCACTCAACAAACTAGGAAGAGAAGGGAAATTCTTCACCTGAAAAGAGCATCTGCAAAAAACCTATGGCTAGCATCTTACTTACTAGCGAAAGACTGAATGCTTTCCCATAAGATTGTGAACAAGACAAGGATGTCTACTCTTGCCACTTCTATTCAATAAAGTATCAGAGATTCTAGCCAGGTCAGTTAGGCAAAGGAAGAAGTAAAAATATCGGGGCCAGCCGGGTGGTGTAGTGGTTAAGTTCGTGTGCTCCACTTCAGCAGCCTGGGGTTCACAGGTTCAGATCCTGGGCATGGACCTACACACCACTCGTCAAGCCATGCTGTGGCAGTGTCCCACATAGAAAAAATTGAGGAGGATTGGCACAGATGTTGGCTCAGGGACAATCTTCCTCAAGCAAAAAGAGGAAGATTGGCAACACATGTTTGCTCAGGGCCAATCTGCCTCACCAAAAAAATAAATAAATAAATAAAACATAATAATAAAGAAAAAAGTAAAAATATCTCTGTTTGCAATGACATGACATTACATATACAGAAAATACCAAGGAATTCACTAAGAAAACTATTAGAACTATTATAATAAATGAGTTTAGCAAGGTTGCAGGATATAAAATCAGTACATAAATATCAATTATATTTCTATACACTAGCAATGAACAATCTAAAATGAAATTAAATAAACAATTCTACTTAAAATAGCATCCAAAAGAATAAAATACTTAGGAATAAATTTAGCCTTGTACACTGAAAACTACAAAACACTGTTGAAAAAATTAAAGAAGAGCTAAATAAATAGAAAGGGGCCAGCCCGGTGGCGCAAGCGGTTAAGTGCACGCGCTCCGCTGCGGCGGCCCGGGGTTCGCTGGTTCGGATCCCGGGCGCGCACCGACGCACTGCTTGGCAAGCCATGCTGTGCCGGGGTCCCATATAAAGTGGAGGAAGATGGGCACAGATGTTAGCCCAGGGCCGTTTTCCTCAGCAAAAAAAGAGGAGGATTGGCGGATGTTAGCTCAGGGCTGATCTCCTCACAAAAAAAAAATAATAATAAAAATAAATAAATAAATAAATAAATAGAAAGACATCCCATGTTCGTGGATGAAAGATATTAAGATGGCAATACTCCCCAAACTGATCTCCTGATTCGAATTCATGGCTCAAGCCCAGCATAGGGAGGGCCCTCTAAAATTTCTTCTGGAGGAAGAAGGCAAAACCCAGAGCACAGAGGGCCCATGGCTTCCGCAGAGTCAGAGACCAAAGAGAGGCAGCGCTGGGTGGGAGTCTCTGGGTAAACTGTAAACATCTGAACCCCAAGCCCTCCCTCAGGAGGCCGTGGGGCAACAGGTGTTGAGGCTGCTATCAGGGTGGCTCAGAGAGGCAGGGGAAGAGCACACAGCCCAGTGCCAGCACTCACAGCACTCACCACAGGGAACCTGGGAAGGAAGCAGCCTCTGTGGTGGGGCTTTAGAGTGGGCAGAACTTCCCATGTGGAAAAGGCAGGGGGAGAGTGTGAGAGACTTACCCAGCGAGCCAATGAGCGCAAAATTCTCCAGCATCACATCACGGTACAGGTTCCTCTGGGTCAAATTAAGAAGCCCCCACTCCTCCAGGGAGAAACACACAGCCACATCCTCAAAGGTCACTGTGCCCTGTAACGATGGATTCAGTCTTCCAGTCAATAGCGGGCAGAAAAGCCAACCAAAATATGGGCAGAGGAACACATCCGGGCCATTGACCTGTGTCCCAGGGTCCTGCCACATCTCTCGCTGACATCATCTTTCCCATTGAGCCCCACTGCCATCCGGACCCCACACACACCCTCATACCTGCCTCCTCCTAAGACCCCTACCTCAAAGGATGACCAGGGACCCCAGTACCACTGGCGCCTCGCTCCTCATGTACTATTGGACTCTCCGTCCAACCCACAGCAACAACAGTTTGGTGACCAGAAAGATGCCATCTACATACCTGGCCAGGCACACAGGCCCCACCCTATCTCCTTCCCGCCAATTCCCTCTGTGTCCCAAAGATCACCTGTCAGAGGCAACCAAACCTATGCTCACCTTTTTCTCTTAGGCCCACGTACCCGGCCCAGGGCCCTGCATCTGCCCTAGGGCCAGCCAGGCACAGGACTCTAGACCACAGACGTGACAACTCCACACCCCCAGCACAACCTCACCGTTCACCCCACTGGCGACTCCCCGGACTCCCCCCATGCCATTCCGCACTTGGTGTCTCCAGAGCGCCCCAGAGAGCAACCACATGCCATCCGCCCCAGTCCTGCCCACACCTCCCACGGCCCACCGCCACGGGCGCCCCCGGCCCCGCCCTGAAGACCTCCCACCCGGACCTGTGCCCAGCGGCAGCGCCGGCCGCCCGGCACCGCACAGTCTCCCATCTCTGCCCCTGCACAGGCCGCCCCTGCACCGGCCGCCGCCGTCCTCACTGCTCGCGGGCCCCTTCAGAGCCCGGGCACCCTCCGCTCACCTGCGCCTCCGCAGCCATCGGACCTGCGGGGGCGGGGGGGGCGGGGGCCACGGGGGGCGCTGACCCGGACCGGCGCGGAGCTTCGAGGACTCGGCCGATCTCCGCACCCGCCACCCCGCAGACGCCTCCGCCGACCGCGGAACCCTCAAGCCTCCGTACACAACGTGCCCACGCGCTAGGGAGCCGCCTCCGGGAGGCCCGGACTCTCGCCCGCTCCGCAGTGGGCGACACCGGGTCTCAGGAAGAGGGCGTCGCTCTCGGGGTCATGGCGCGGGCCCCAGCCCTTCTCCGCCCCTGCGGGCTCCAGGAAGGCCGCCTCGCCGCGCGGATCCCAGGTGCTCGCCCACCACCGGCGGCCGAGCGAGCGCGGCGACGGCAACGCCGGAAGTCCCGCCCCTGCTGCGGCGGCGTCGGCTCGCACCCGGTCCTGCGCCTTCGTTGACTCGGCGCCGCGCCGCGCTGTGACCTCATTTCCCAGCTCTCCTCGCGGGGCCGCTTGCTTGTTGCCCAGGCGACAGGGGAGCGCGCGAACTACATTTCCCGTAAGTGATCTCGCAGTGCGTCCGTACAGATGAAGCGAATGACGGCCCAGGAGGTGTGCTTCCGGGCGAGTCGCTCCGGTGGGGGAGGGACTTTCGGCGTCGGACTCCGACTGTTGCTTTGGAACCTCACCTGGTGGAAAGCAGGTGTTGCTGCGCCGTGGGCGGCGTCCAGAAGGCTCCCCCGGCCCGCGGGAACGCGAGCGGGGACGGCACGAGAGTGGGATGTCCTACTACGCTCCGTCCGCGTCATGACCGCGGGTCTCCGGCCGTAGAGAGCCGGCGTGTGCGGCCTCACAGCGGGGGTGTCCGCCGGGGCCTCCGCGGCCGCCCAGGAGTGGCCGCCTTTGGCTTTTGCCCGCGTTACGGAGCGGGAGACGGAGGCTGAGAAAAGCTTCCCCTGCCCGAGTTCCCGGAGCGGCACGGGGCCTCGGCAGGAGGCGGCGGCGTCGGGGAAGAGGAGCAGTCGGGTTTAGGCGGGTGGAGTCTGCGCTGCTCCGCGGTGAAGGCTTGTGTGGGCGCCGGATCACGAGGGGCTGCGGCGCCGGGACGGGTCGGCTTCCGAATGTTCAGGGGCCGGTGGGCTCGTGGCCCACCCCGGTCGGGCCATGGTCCCCTCAGATACAGGGTCCGGTGGAGGAGGGTGAGCGCGTGGCTGGCGGTGTCAGGGGGTAGGGTGTTGGGCACATCGGAGTGGGAGGCTGGCAGGAGAACCCGGCTCCTAGGCGCCTTGCTTTCTGTTCAGACGCACTCATTTTGGATGTCGTGGCCCCGTGTCTCCTAGGAAGGACGGAGCGCTTGAAGTTCCAGAGGAGCGTCCGCCCAGGGTGGTGCTGGAGAAGTTTGCACTCGCGGCTTCGCTGTGTCAGGCCGCAGACTTCCTCACTCCCCAAACCAGAGCTGTTTTCTCTGCTCTTTCCATGTCTGAACTCCTTGGAAGTTGCTGTTGGTCTTGGCGCTGAGGCCCAGGCCGTGCTACCTCCTCTCCCAGGCTGCTTTGTAAGCAACCAGGGAACTCTACCCAGGGGCTATGAGTGGCCGCGATCCGGAGTCAGAAGTCTCTAAGTCTTCGCAGCAGGTCTTGTCCAGCTCAGTCACTTTCTGTAAGAAGCCAAGCACTTCGTGCTCTGACATGGCCATTGTTTGTGGGACCACTGGGCTCTGTCTTGGAGACCTTCCCTGGACATTCAGGTTGTGAAGTTTAGTGTTCTCTGTACAGATTATCCTCACCGGCTAGGGTCTGTTATGGGGTGGGTTGGCTTCTCCTAGGCTGGATTCTTACAAACCTGGTCAGCCCCCATAGCTCTGGGGCCTTCCACATTTCCTGTGCTTACCCAGCTGGAATTGGTGAAGAGACCAGCCCTGGTGGCTGCCCAGGGATGGGCTGTTCTCATAGCTGGTGCCTGGCCCATGCCCTTTCAGGTTTTGGTGCCTCCCTCACCACCTACTGGTTTTTCCCCCTCTTGACAGCACCCTGACTCCAGTCCTCTGGCTGTGCGCTCACTCTCTCCCCAGCTGTGTGGTGTTCACCTCCCCTTAACCTGTCCTGAGTTGATCAGATATCGTCAGATAGTCCTTGCAATCCTGTTCCTCAGTGACACCTGCGTGTTCTCTCCAAGGAGGCAGGCACAGGTGCGAGCTCCCCAGCACGTGGTACATGCCTGTCACTGGTAGCCATGGCAGTCATCAGGTGGATTGTCCTGCCCTAGGCTGGTCTCACCATGCTAGTTACAGTCATGCATCGATTAACAACCGGGACACATTCTGAGAAATTCATCGTTAGGCGATTTCACCGGTGTGTGAACATCACAGAGTGTACTTACACAAACTTAGATGGTATAGCCTGCTACACACCTAGGCTGTATGGTACCAGTCTAATGAGACCACTGTCGTATATGTGATCCATCACTGACTGGAACATTGTTATGTGGTGCGTGACTGTATTCCCTACGATTGTCATGTTTACACCCCATGAAGTCACCAGATTGGAGTGCAGTCAAGAGCACTGATTGATGGACGGGGTAGACTTGAAACCATGGATGGCATGAGAGTTCCTGAAGAGGCTCAGCCATGGAGATTGCCTGGAAGGGTGGGAGTATCCCTGGGGTTAGGCTGTTCTCGTGCCTCGAGCCTGAGCTGTACCTCTGGTGTCCAAGTGCCACGGCCACCACCCTTGTGACTTTTCTATCTTCCTCACCTCCCTGCTGGACAGCCCACCCTCTCACCTACTTCCCCTGAGTCCTGTACCCTGCCTGTCCTCCACGTCTCACTTCCCCTTGTCCCCTTTTTGTCTGGTTCTAAGACATTGGCTACCATTACCATGTCCTGGGCTGATACATATCCTTAAATAGTTCTAGAAAGCCCATTCCTCTGTGGGAGGCTTGTTCCCTCCATGGGTGTGGGCAGGCATGGATTCTCCAGGGCCTGAGGCCCACAGAGGCCCAGTGCTTACTTTGGGTCACAGCTGGTAGGAGTCAGCACTGCACTTTGATCCCAGGTGGGCTCACACTGAAGGCGCCCCCCTCCACCACTCACCTTTCCTGGGCTGGCTTTCACAGCTCGTGATGGTTTCATTTGTGCTACTTCCTGAGGTCACCTTCGGGGACCTCAGTAGTTTCACTTTTCAGATTTTAGGTTTAGTGCCTCTTTAGGGGCTACAAGGTCAGGTAATGAGATGATGGAGTCTTACTGGGGAGGGTACAGGGTGACCCTAAACTGCAGGACGTCTCCCTGGGGCTGGCTGCCTGATGGATGACAAGAGGAGGGTGAATTGGAGTTGCTGCAGGAGGTGGACACCTGAAACTGCGAATCACAGCGCAGTACGGGAGGCTGTAGGTACTTAGGAGACACTTCCTGCTGGCCAGTTGTGAAGGGCTGTGGAGTGACCAGAGGGAGAGTGTCCCCACAGCCATAGAAGGCCTGAGTGGTGATGCTGAGCTTCCAGTGGCAGCGTCAAATGGTGATATTCCCGCCAACCATGGGCTGAGATTATAATTTCCGAATTTTGTAGATAAGGAAACGGACACAGAGAGGTGAGGCATTGTACTCACAGTCACATGGGAACCCCGGTACAAACTCAGGTCAGCCTGACCCCCTGAGCTCTGACCCCTCTGCCTCTGTGTTACATTTGCATCTAGCAGGGCATGGTGATTATATTTGATGCAAGTTTGAAGTATGTGGATTTGAAAATGTGAGATACAGAATTCCTAACATCACATTTATGCATTAATTTGGAACAGTGTAAACCCCTCTCTCTGCATAGTCCAGAGGGAATTATTCTTGCCTCCCTCCAGCTGTGAATGGGTGGCATGTTGAATGCATCCCTGGGCAAGAGACTTGCCTGTATTTTACACTGTGCTCCCTTGTCAAAGTACAAACAGTCCATGTAAGTCTCCCTGCCGGTTGAGGGGTCAGTGTGCTTTATAGGTTGACAGATGAGGCCAGTGACCCTGCAGGGAGGTGTCGGTGACCTACTACACCCCCCAACCCCATCAGTGTCTATGAGGGTCTTGTGGCAACAATAATCCCAGTCAGAGCCCTCGTGGCCCCTCAGGAACTGTGTGCCTGGCCCTGTTGTAAGCAGAGGAACGTGTAAGTGTATGTTTACCTTACACTAGCCATCCTCATAGATGTGGACTGGCATTTCATGGTGCCTTTATTTGCAGTTAGCCATTCACTTGGACATTTACGATCAAGGAATTTTTAAAATATTTTTTATCTTGAAATAGTTTGAAAGAAGTTGCAAAATACTACAAAGGTTTCCCATGTACCCTTCATCCGGCTTCCCTCAATGATAACATTGTACATAACCGTAGTACATTGTCAAAACGAGGAAAATAGTGTTAGTACAATACTTTAACCTCAACTACAGACCTTTATTCAGATTATGCCAGTTACACATGCACTGTTTAGGTGGTTCTGTGAAATGTTATCAGGTGTGTAGATTCATGTTAGCACCACCACAGTCAGACACAGAGCTGTGTCATCTCCACAAAGGAACTCTTTATGCTGCCCCTTAATAGTCAAACCCTCTTGCAACTCTGACCATTGATTTGTCCTCCATCACTCTAATTGTGTCACTCCAAGAATGTCACGTAAATGAAATAGTATGAGCTGGCTCTACTTGGGGCTTTCGTCACTCAGCATAATGCACTTGAGATCCATCCAAGTTGCTGTGTGTATCAATAACTTGTTCCTTTTTATTGCTAAGTAGTATTCCATTGTATGGATGTACCACAGTTTGTTTATCCACTCACCTATTGAAGGACATTTGGGTTATTTACTCTTTTTTTGGCTATTACAAATAAAGCTGCTACAAGCATTTGTATTCAGAGTGTTCTGTGAAGGCAAGTTTTCATATGGGGGTCCGGGGATAAATGCCCAGGAGTGCAGTTGCAGAGTTGTGCAGTAAGTGTATGTTTAACATGTTAAACTGCCAAATTGTTTTCCAGAGTAGCTGTACCACTTTACGTTCCCACCAGCAATA